TTTTCCATAAAAATTTTCCCTTATTTTGCTTTTTTTTTGCCCCAAATTGTATATGATTGGCCATTTTGCGGGCCCCCAAAATTTCAAAAACTTTAATATTAAATAGGGCATTGCATGCTAAAAATTCATGCAAAAATTTTAGACCTTAATTAAGGTAAAAGGTCCGAAAAAAGTTTGGATTCTTTTTTGGGCCAAATGCAGAGATAACTTGTTACAAACAATCTAGCACTGACTGTTTCGAATCTGCTGGTTTGTACAGCTTTAACCCTTTACCACATATATACGCGAAACAACGCACTTTTGACCCCCCCCCTTTTTTAGGCCTCAAATAGTGAAAAAATGTCCTATTTGGGCCCCAAACCTAAGTTTTCGTTTGAGAAATGTTGTTAAAAAAATTGAGCACTTTTTAGGCGCCGTTCCCCCTCCAAAAGATACATCAGGGGGTTGCCAGAAGGGGGATGTGCACCCTTCTGTTAGAGGGGTTTGAAGCGGGGCGAAGTCCCCCTCATCGCCAAGAAAATTTTGGACTTGTGAGAGGCTAAAAATGACCCCAGGTCGATCATAATGTAACGTTTAACCAACCCTGAAAAGCCTTTGACTCTATCTCAATCCCTTGAGAAGTTGCAGCACTTTGAAATAAATTTTTATGGAAAAAATCGAGGCAAAATAGTGATTTTTGGCAATTTTGAGATGTCCCCTCGTTGCCATGGTAACAGGAAATTTAAGACTGAGCATGTCGTTACAAAGGCAATTGTCCAGTCAACATTTGTGCCAAGTTTGATTAGTATTGAAGCATTTTTCATAGTTTCATAGCAGTTTGAACTTGTAACAGGAGGCTTTCCAGTGAAAACGGCCATTTTTCACAATATGCTCATGGGGGAAAGGGTTAATTTAACCTTATTACCGATTACAGCTACCATTTGACATAAGTGGGTATTACAGCTTCAATTTTACCTAAGTGGCGAGTTCAACCTCCATTTTTACATTAGTGGCTAGTACAGGTTTCATTTGACCTTAGTAACTAGTACAGTTTCCATTTGACATAAGTGGCTAGTACAGGTTTCATTTGACCTTAGTAACTAGTACAGTTTCCATTTGACATAAGTGGCTAGTACAGGTTTCATTTGACCTTAGTAACTAGTACAGTTTCCATTTGACATAAGTGGCTAGTACAGGTTTCATTTGACCTTAGAAACTAGTACAGTTTCCATTTGACATAAGTGGCTAGTACAGGTTTCATTTGACCTTAGTAACTAGTACAGTTTCCATTTGACATAAGTGGCTAGTACAGGTTTCATTTGACCTTAGTAACTAGTACAGCTAATACAGCTTCAATATGGCATACATCTTTAACTGTGATCAAAATGAAAGAATCGTCAGCATTAAAAAGTTACTATATTTAACAAAAGTTGACAATCATTAACATAGATTGAAAATAATAAAAGGGGTCCAAGTATAAAACACTCGGGAACACTATGATTTATCACATATGACTTGTGAAGTCAGCAGTCAATCTGCTATTAAATAAGGACAGTGCTATAAGAAATGTTGTGCACTTGATGAACAAAATCAGACTGCGGATTTACTTATAGATTTTAATACAATGTAATGATGTTGAAATTATTGTCATTTTCCTTGGTGGATTTGCCTCCTTCAGATTTGCAAAGTGTCAACGATTAAAAACATTTTTAGATACAACTACATGTATAAGAATCTTAACTTTAGTTCTGACTACAAAAAAAAACGAAAATCGTTAGCTCACTATAATTTTACTATCTTTGATCTTATGGCACATGAAACATAGTGAAATAATTCAAGCAATATAGTTTTAAAATTTTAAGAAAAAGAACTTTTGACTTCAGTAACATAAGCAAAGGGAGGTAACCATTTCTATAAATATTTACTTATTTTCTATTTACTAATTGAATCAAAAATATCCTAAATGCTATTCGTAACTGTAGAATACCAAGTGTTTTAACAGTCGTATGTCTTTGCTTTAAATATATCATATAAAAATGTTAAATCATTACTTTAATAATCATATCACTTAATGTTTAAATGGTTGTGTTATAAAACTATAATTACACTTTTCTCCATTTTGATAAATGTCCAGTACATTCATGTTGCAATGCCAATCTCCAGTATATAATGGTACATGTATTTACTACATCATTTCTTTGTAAAATCAAGTACTGATCATAACCTTGCTGAAGAGGCACCATATAGGTATATACTAGAACAATTCATGTTGTCATTGAGACTATATACATATACAAAGGTTAGTGGTTAATGACTTTGTATTATGCTCCTTATTCACTCTGTCACAGAGACTTTACATCAGGCAGGTTAAGTACATGCACATATAGAGCTCATATATTTTATCATACCATACGTTATTCATCAATATTCCGTCTTACAAAATGATACAACAAAATGAAATTGATATCAATGTAAAAAAAAACAAGAAGAAATGAGCATAACACAAAATCTCTTTTATTTCAAATATTCCAGAAGTATCGGAGGGACTTAATACATAATAAAACTTCATAACAAGCAAATTATATACAAAGCAACCAAACATACATCAATAAGAAAGGATAAGAAGGTACAAAAATAGAAATATATCAGTTGTGGAACAATTATACCGCTTACAGCAGGGGATATATTGTCTCCCAACCTTACACATTTCCCATTATATGTTGATATATTCTCGCTGTAATATTTTATTTGGCACATTCATAGAAGATTTTACACCTCTATTAAAACAAAGCTGATAATTCTCAAGTTAAATTATTTTTCTTCAAGATGACATATTATCTTAGAACAGCTTTCTGTTCTTCTAGTCTGATCTTATAAAGTTATGAATATCAATAATTTATCATAAATTCATATGAAGGGATTCTGTTTTATGGCCAAAGTTAAGTATTCATGTTGACTTTTGACCCTGTGACCTCTTAAAGTGGGTCTTATGGATAGAGAATATCAATCTGCAGTCATCTGTGAAATTGGAAGGCTTTGATTAAAGGACTTCTGTTTTATTGTCCTATTTGATATTTTGAGGTCGTTCAGACCTTGACCTATTTCTTGTGACCCCTAAATTGGTCTGGTAATTAGAGATGATGAAGATGCATGTTAATATGCAAATAAAGTTACAACACTTTGGATTGAAGCACATTTTTCATGAATAAGATTAAAGTAGTGTCATGGTGACATTGATCTTTGGCCCCTGATCCCGGGACCTCTTAGTAGGTATTTTGGGGAGAGTTAATCAAGGTATATGTATCTGTGAAGCAGGACCTTTGTGTTATTGTCTAGGTTACAGTTTTGTGATAGACAAACATATAGGAAAACAGACAGACATACAAAATCAATTAGCCACCCAATCTATGGATAGAGGCAATGATTCTCTTTGCAAGAAAATAATTTGACACCTATTGTAAATATACAGGTGATTTACCCTTAATAAATCTCAACTAGTAAAAAACATGTCTATTATAGAATGTCCTTGCTAAAATATTTATATAAATTAATGGAAAAAACTGATTTTATAGCAATATAATTATGTATAAGAAATGACCTTAACGTCTTAATAAAATACATTACCTAAAATAGTATACAGTCAAGCATTGAAGGAAAAAGATTGATTAAAAATAAAAACGTGTACAATCATTAACTATGTATAAAATATTAAGCTAGAAACAAATTTAAGCACTTCAAAATGTATTTCTTGGAGAAAAAGTCTAATTAACAGAAATTTTTCCATGCATTAATACGCAAGTTTTTTAAGTTAGAGGCAAAAATTATTTTGGACTTAGAAGATGTTAGAAGATGACTATAAGTAAATTACTAATATTATTATGTCACATTAAATAAACATACATTTGCCTGGTAATATTATCATGAAGTCACATAACCAAGTCTTCACAAATAATTAACACTCCAACACTAATCAAATCACTTCATGCATTTAGCAATGTCGTCATGTAAAACCCTCTTCTGTACTTCTGTAAGCTTGTCATATGTGCTTATAAATCGTCCTTTATCACGAAGACCGATCAATTCTGGTTGCTTAGCAACACAATAGATGTTAGGATTATACAGCTCGTCTCCAAGACTCCTGGATCCAGGATCACGTGTATACAAGATAACCATATTAGCTGTAAAAAACAAATAATAAAAATACTAATTGACAAAGAAGCAAATGCTATATTGATCACAGGCTTGTCACTTGTTTTCAATGTGATATTTAACAATCAGCTAAATTTGTTATACATACATTCTGTGATATAATATATGTTACTGTTATATAATACATTATGATGGCATCAAACCTTCAATGAGACATCATCTTCAAAATTAACCTCTTAGGAAAAAAAACAGTCCAGAAATTTAAGAACGCATGAAAAAAGTGTTCTTTATGACTAAACCAAGAAATTACATGCCAAGAAAATTTAGTGAAATCTCAGTATATTAAAATGAACTTCAACACATTTTTCGGGGTTATCTGCCCTTGCCACAAGTACTAAGCCTAGTCAGTAAATACATGTACACTTCCTTGCAGTCTGTGTATACACTATACAGTTGGATTATTAACTTTAAATTTTGCAGCCTGATATCCCTGAAAATGATAATGGATGGTTCCAAACATAGAAGCATGGCAAGTCCAATCAAGCCAATCAGCATATTAAGGGGTAAAAGTTGAACAAGCAATACCTCTGTATCTCTGAATAACTTCATAAGTACACCTCTTCAAATCACCTAGGCCCAATCCTGGTTCTTCTATAATAACATGTCTTAAATAAAAAGAGAACAATAAATAACTTTTCAAATAAAGGTACAGAGGGAATGTTTGTTTTCCTTACAGTTAACTCGCATAATATGATTTTTTTTTCAACTCATTCAATAAATATTAAAACTAAACTCATTTAATATCCTCTATACATTAAGGAAGAAACAAATAAATTTATTAGAGGTATAAATCAACAAATTAGAGATAACTAGAACTGTGTCCAAAGGAAATGGATGCCCCACTGACAACATATATATGGTATCTAGTAAAACAATCAACAAAGGGCCATTTTTCTCTTAAATTTAGTCACAGCCAAAATTCCTTCCTAAACCTCCATCTACAAATTAAGGTTGTTCATCCCTGGAAATTTAAGCAAAATCTGCCATCCGGTTTAAGAGGAGTTGCGTTCACAAAATTTCTGTATGGTATATAGTGAAAAAATCAACAAAGGGCCATAATTCTGTTAAATTTTGTCGCAGCAAAAAATCCTTCCTTTACTTCCATCTGCACATTAAGGTTGTTCATCCCTGGAAGTTTAAGCAAAATCTGCCATCCAGTTTCAGAAGAGTTGCTTTCACAAAATTTCTATATGGCATCAAGTGAAAAAATCAACAAAGGGACATAATTCTGTTAAATTTGGTTGCAGCAAAATTTCTTTCTTTACTGCCATCTACATATTAAGGCTGTTTATCCTGGAAGTTTAAACAAAATCTGCCATCCAGTTGAAGAGGAGTTTCGTTCACAAAATTTCTACATAGAATATAGTGAAAAAATCAACTAAGGGCCATAATTCTGTTAAATTTGGTCGCAGCAAAAATTCCATCCTTTACTACCATCTACACATTAAGGTTATTCATCCCTGGACGTTTAAGCAAAATCTGCCATCTAGTTTAAGAGGAGTTGCGTTCACAAAATTTTTACATAGTATATAGTGAAAAAATCAACAAAGGGCCATAATTCTGTTAAATTTTGTCACAGCAAAAATCCTTCCTTTACTTCCATCTACACATTAAGGTTGTTCATCCCTGGAAGTTTAAGCAAAATCTGCCATCCGGTTTCAGAGGAGTTGCGTTCACAAAATTGCTATATGATATATAGTGAACAAGAAGCGCCGCAATGCGACGAAAACCAGGTTTTCAACGACCAAGTTATGATGTGACAGCAATCAATAGGTCAAAGTGCACTGAAGTTATTGAGTACAAGCTGAAAATTCTATTGTAAGCAAATGACCTTGAACTTGCTCCCAGATATCTAAGTGGCAATCCAAAGCTGCCACTCAGCAAGTTTGGTGTCAAAAGGTCAAAGCAAACTAAAGTTATAACATGAAAACTAAATAAAATAACCTTGATCACAGACACCTGGGTAGCAATCCCAAGCTACCCCTTGATATAAGCTACCCATTCATCAAGTTTGGTGTTAATAGGCCAAAGCAAACGCAAGTTATTGAGCAGAAACTGAATTGCTATTTTTAGTAACAGTGACCTTGACCTTGATCACAGACATCTGGGTAGCAATCCCAAGCTGCCTCTTGATATAAGCTATCAATACACCAGGTTTGGTGTCAATAAGCCAAAGCAAACTCAAGTTATTGAGCAGAAACTGAATTTCTATTTTTAGTAACAGTGACCTTGACCTTGATCACAGACATCTGGGTAGCAATCCCAAGCTACCCCTTGATATAAGCTATCTATACACCAAGTTTGGTGTCAATAGGTAAAATCAAACTCAAGTTATTGAGCGGAAACTGAATTGCTATTTTTAGTAACAGTGACATGACCTTGATCACAGACACATGGATAGCAATCTCAAGCTACCTCTTGATAAAAGCTATCCATACATCAAGTTTGGTGTCAATAGGCCAAAGCAAACTCAAGTTATTGAACAGGAACTGAATTTCTATTTTTAGTTACAGTGACCTTGACCTTAATCACAGACACCTGGGTAGCAATCCCAAGCTACCCCTTGATATAAGCTACCCATTCATCTAGTTTGGTGTCAATAGGCCAAAGCAAATTCAAGTTATTGAGCAGAAACTGAATTGCTATTTTAGTAACAGTGACATGACCTTGATCACAGACACCTGGATAGCAATCCCAAGCTGCCTCTTGATAAAAGCTATCCATACATCAAGTTTGGTGTCAATAGGCCAAAGCAAACTCAAGTTATTGAGCAGAAACTGAATTTCTATTTTAAGTAACAGTGACCTTGACCTTAATCACAGACACCTGGGTAGCAATCCCAAGCTGCCTCTTAATATAAGCTACCAATACACCAAGAGAGGTGTCAATAGGCCTAAGCAAACTCAAGTTATTGAGTTGAAACTGAATTTTTATTTTAAGTAACAGTGACCTTGACCTTGATCACAGACACCTGGGTAGCAATCCCAAGCTACCCCTTGATATAAGCTACCCATTCATCAAGTTTGATGTCAATAGGCCAAAGCAAACTCAAGTTATTGAGCAGAAACTGAATTGCTATTTTTAGTAACAGTGACCTTGACCTTGATCACAGACATCTGGGTAGCAATCCCAAGCTGCCTCTTGATATAAGCTATCTACACACCAAGTTTGGTGTCAATATGCCAAAGCAAACTCAAGTTATTGAGCGGAAACCAAAAATTGACGCCTGCCCGCCCGCCGACTTCGGCATTACAATAACCCGGTTTTCGTTGAAAACCTATTTAAAAAATCAACAAAGGGCCATAATTCTGTTAAATTTTGTCGCAGCAAAATTCCTTCCTTTACTTCCATCTACACATTAAGGTTGTTCATCCCTGGAAGTTATGCAAAATCTGCCATTAGGTGTAAGAGTTTCGTTCACGAGATTTCGGGACGTACAGACAGAAAGATGGACGGACGTACAGACGAACGAACAAGTGCAACGCATTATGCTCCCACATTGTGGGGGCATAAAATAATAAACATTGATTTTGAAGACAAATGATTACACAGGAATATTTGTAACAATGTATAACAGATTACCAAATGATATTCTTGAAATCTCACTGAGTACATGTCCACTTTCTATTCTAGGATTAAAGAAACAGTGTTGAATTTTATTGAATATTTTCTTTAAGAACATCAACCAATGTATGATTCTTGATTGCATTAATACATTCAGTAATTTTTTCATTTTTTTCAGTTTTCAAAACAAGTTATCAGACAAATCAGAAACTGACAGAAGTTAATGTCAGGCACCAAAACAAGAACCCACACTTTCTAACTAAAGAATTTTTTAAGTGTAAGTTGTTTACTGTTAAATATATACAGAAACACAAAGAACAGAGTTGTGACTATCTTTACTGATTAAAGCCCTTGAAAAACTTGATGGTTGCCATATTTAGTAAATTTGGCCCAGTCTATTGACGCTAATCAAATGGAAAAGTTTATTACATCTTAAGTAAACTATAATGTGTGGAACAGACATCGGACTGAATGTGGTTGAGTAGGTTGAACTTACATTTCAAACAAGCAAATTATCAAAGTATTTCAAGCAAGACTTAAGTCCCCTATCAGTCAGAAACCCGCAAGAAGTATGTCATCAACATTCTAAAGTGCCATGACCTATCAATTATGCCATTGTCAAAGACATGAATGAACTTTTGAGTTCTTAGTTTTTCTAAATCATAGAAATGTGTTAAGTTCTTTGTCTAATAAGGAAATAATGTTTATACAGATAATCAAAAGATCAAATTTTCTCAGGATAAATATGTATATTTTATGTTTCAACTTTTCTCTATTTCAAGTAAATTTGTTGGAAAAGTTCAAAGTTCTATAAAAGAGATCCAAGGAAACAGGTTTTACGAACAGACAGACAGATGGACTGATGGACAGAGGACATTCCTGTTAATGTAACCAGAATATAACATTTTTAAAAGCAAAATTCTTAAACAAAAGAGGAGAAACTCTTGAAATAAAGATGCTAGACTTATGACCATTGTCATACATGATGTGAGTCATGACCAAGAACAATTATTTCAAGTCAAAAGTACATCATCTATAGTAACAATGAATATAGTAACAAAGTGAAAAAATATACAATTTTCAAAAAAAATACCATTTATACTAACAAAAAAGAAAATTACAAACAAGAACATGTTTAAACTCAAAGTCCCCCAGATCAGATACTTGAAGTTGAAAAATATTCTCCTTACTAATAAAACTTTATCAAATATATATAAACGCAAACCTTGTTGTTAACCTAGTGACCCCAAACTCAATCCAAACTTAACAGATCAACTTAAGTAAATATGAGACAATTTGGTAAGATTTTTAACGAAGGTTGTATAAAAATTGTGCACAAATCTAGTGTTAGCACAAGTGACCTTGACCTTGTGACTCCCAACACTGGACCATCCAAGGCATTTTCTTCTAAAGATAAAAAACATCAGTCTGTAAATAAAGGCTGTTTAAGCAAATGCGTAAATCTATTTTTGGCACCATTGATCTTGACCCACTGACCCCTAGCTCAATCCAAAGGAGGAAGACCAGGCAAGATATCTTTCTACGAAATATAAAAGACATCTGTCAATAAATAAAGGCTGTATTGGCAAAAGTGTAAAACAAGATTGCATTTGTGAAACAATACTACCACTGCACTATACAATATTAAATAGCAAGAAAAGGAGTAGTTCATTAATTTTTCTTTCTAAACAATGAAACTTTGTGATAATGCAGTAAAAATTACTGAATTTGGAACAAGGTCACTAGTTCAGAAAGTAGGTCAACTATTAAAGCAGCCTATTCTTTATCTAAAACTGTACTCATGTCATGGTCCATATATAGCTGTACCTAAAAGAACAAAAAAGTAGGTCACTAGCAGAGTCCAATTCTATATATAAAACAATAATAATGATTCAAAATACTTTTACTGTGTAGTTTTTATTCTATCAGACTTTAAAAATATCTGGCATGAAATTTCCTATTAAATTTGGCATTATTTAGCCAATAAATACTAGTAAAAATTATATATTTAAAATCAAAAAATCTTTTTCTTTCCAGAAAATTAAAAAATAAACAAGAACGTGTTTGTTAAACACCAATGCCCCCAGCTCAGATTCTTGTCAGTAATAATATTTAAAATAAAGACTGTATGGGCAAAAGTGTAAACAATCTATTTTTAGCACTCGTGACCTTGATCCAACTGACCCCTAACTCCATCCAAAGGAAAAATATCATGCAACTTATTTTCCTACCAAATATGAAATAAATCTGTCAATATTTAAAGGCTGTAAGGGCAAAAGTGTAAAATCTATTTTTCGCATTGTTGACCATGACGCAACTGACCCCTAACTCCACCCAAAGGAAGAATACCATGTAAGTTATCTTCCTACCAATTATAATACAAATCTGTCAATAGATAAAGGCTGTGTGAGCAAGAGTGTAAAAATCTATTTTTAGCACTGGTGACCTTGACCCAACTGACCCCTACCTCCATCCAAATGAGAATACCTCAATTTAATCTTCCTACAAAATATACAAGACATCTGTCGATAGAAGTCGATAGAATAAGGTTAATACACCTGTGAAAGTGTAAAAAATATATTTTTGACATTGGTGACCTTCACCCAAATGACCCCTTACTAAAGGAAAAGGAAAAGGACCTCCCTTGGTATGACTATTATAAACATGAAAGACATAAACTTAAAAATAAAGGCTGTATGAGCAGAAATGTTCAGATTAATGTTTTTACACATGTGACCTTGACATTGACCTAGAGACGCCTAACGCCACAAAAAAATTAGAGGACCGTTAAAGGTATCCACCTACCAATTATGAAAGATATCATTAAATAAATTAAGTAAATAGGTGAAATTTGTTTGATAAATCCAACTTGGCATAATAAGTTAACCATACAAGGCCCTATTTTCAAAGTGATAAAAAGGGAAATTACTGGGAAAATGGATGGCACATTTATATAACTTGGCAATATCATGTACATTGTATTGATAAGTAAGTGTGAAAATTATTAAGCCATAAGTTCAGATAGAACATAAGATATTTCCAACTTGCCGGTTTAGGTTTACCATTATTCATTTTCTAAGTGCTGAAAAGGGCCATAACTTGGTGCAAATGGAAGCCATAGTTATGTAACTTGCCCAGATCATATACTTTGTATGGATTAGTAAGTGTGTAAATTATGAAGCCATTGGTACAAGTAGAACTTAAGAAAAATCTAACTTGCCATTCTAGGTTAACCTCGTGCGGACAGACGGACAGACATCCTTCCATTTGTATTCTTGTTAGGTATTTTACTGTGTAAAAAAGTACCCAACAATCAAAGAAAAAAACCCAACAATACATACGGAGTGAGTAGGATTGGTAGTTGTTAGTTCAGTACCCAACATATACCCTCTTGTGCGCTCAGACGGACGGACGAACAGACGGACGGTTCAATTACTATATGCCCGCGGGCATAAAAAAAGTTGCCCGTTCTGGGGTTTGAACCCACATCCCTCATTTTCAATGTAGTTGACAGTAATTCTAGCCTATTTGAATCTTCTTCAAAGCAGAGGTAATGCATGAAGGGTATACTACCTTAAAGTAGCTAGGAGAAACTGTAGGAAAAGTGGGACGGAACAATGGTATGGAAGGATATTTTTCAGGGCGGATAAAAAATAGCAACCTGCAGTGTGCATTTAAGTTTCGTATGTTATGTGTTTTTATATATCCAATTAAACCAATAAAACAAAGCAATGGCGATATTCTTATGCATTATAATAAGGTTATCGTTACAATGGGAGAGCAATATAACAGGGTGGCAGTGAAAATTCTTGATCTGATTATTATAAATTCAAAGAATATGACACATAAAGCAATTATATCAAACGTGCAGATATTTACCAGAAATCGTTTAACATTATTGTGGTTATTAATTACTACTTACTAGTAGGTGTTGTAGAAGCTCTACATTAATACATACAAAATCATTAAATAATCATGCTTCCTTAATTAAAACAAATAAAATGCTCTATTATAGTTTGTTATCTTTGAGACTGTCATCAATGCATTTTCAATCAATATTCATTTTTTCATTCACCTTATCAACTTTCATTTCCTTTTGATAATCAAATTTCCGATCTTCATTCAGTCTTCTCATTCACATTTTATTTTTTTTTATTTTTCTCATTGTATCAAGAATTTTTAACATACTTGTTTTTGTTTTAAGTGGGTATATATATTTTATATTAATGCATGTTCTTTTTTAGTTTGCTTTTAAATATGCACCATGCAAACCAAACTTAGCAACCATGAGGCATATATAACCCTGTATTAACCCTGGTCCCACTTTCATTTATATAATATACTTGAATTATTGGAAATAAATTAACTGTTGAACCAACCTTTTGTTACAGGTAAGTTTCATTCATTTTTCTCACTCACCTTTTTAGTCTTCATTCATTTTTCTCACTCACCTATCAATTTTTATCCTTCATTGATTTCTATCATTCACATTTACTTGTTTAACTCCTACTCATTCCTTTCACACACCATCTCTTTTATTCTGGTTCACCTTATTTTTAATTCCCCCCCCCCCCTCTCATCATCTTTTTATCTTCAATCAATCACCCATTTAATCTCATTCATTCTCTTATTTACTTTTATTCATTATTTCCTTAAACTTTTATCCATTTTCCTTGCATAGCAGACTGGCATTTCTGATAGTTTTACCTATGCCGGACACTTCATCTGGCATGGGGGTAACTTAACACATGACAGATATCATTTTTATTCACCTTTTTAATTTATGCATATTTTCTAAAGCTTTAGAGTTGTGATGATACTGAAGCCATGTCCATTAAAATTCTGTTTTATAACCCAAGTTGTCCCAGTACACAATGGCCCCCAATTTATTTTAGGCAAGGGTCATGAGGTTTGGTTAAATATTATCCAAGTAAGGTTGATAGGGGCATAAAAAATATTTAAGTTTGAACTTCAGTCAATGTCATTATAAGTAACAATATTCACAAAGCACTGCTATTGTATGCATTTTATTAACAGGTGCCTAAATTTGATATGTTTAGATAGCCCATTCATAGGCTAAAGAGAAGTTGTTCAAAAGATTTACTTTATATTGCATAAAAACTCACAAGTTTATGACGAGAAATGGAAACTTAAATGATTTCTATCTTAATGATCTGATGGAATCTAGAATTAAAGTACAGCAACAGTCTACAGAAGGCAATCTCAGAAATAGAATTAATAAAAACAATTAGATGAAAAAACAAGAGAGCCATAATAGCTGTATGTCACCTCACATAAGATAAAATTGCTGAAAAAAATCAAAATTCTTAAATATAAAAAGTCAGGTGTTTTAGCTAATACTATGAGTATCATTTCTAGAATATTCTAAATTGTCTGCAACAAAATACTTCATGTCAAATATCTTTAGATGTCCTGGCATTGTAATTTCACACAAGAAAACTTAAATTATGTTGTTTTTACTCTTACTATAATGTTGAAAAAAGTGAATCTGAGGCTGGCTAATTTTAACCCCAGAGCTTGATTTTGGTGAGTTTTTAGTAAACCAGAATGTGATACTAAATCATGCAAAATATCTCAGCTCTGGGAATTATAATTTCGGGGACCACCATTTTTAACAAGAGCACCGCTAGGTGGAGCATTATATGCCCGAAAGTACTTTACCTGTAGGTTGATTAATGCTCGAGTTATTCAGCTAAAGCTGTTGTCAGTTTAAAGGTGATAGTAACCTTGATCTTTGACCATGTGACCCCAAAATCAATAGGGGTCTTCTACCCAATATGGACAATGATCCTATGAAGTTTTAATACTGTGGACCAAATTGAACTTAAGGTATGCTGCGGAAACCATTTTCAGTTTTACTGTAATAGTGACCTTGACCTTTGACTTTGTGACCCCAAAATCGTTAGGGGTCTTCTACCCAATATGGACAATCATCCTATGAAGATTGAAAACTTTGGGCCAAATGGAACTTAAGTAATGCTCCGAAAACTATTTTCCATATTAAAGTAATAGTGACCTTGACCTTTGACCTTGTGACCCCAAAATCAATAGGGGTCTTCCAACCAATATGGACAATCATCCTATGAAGTTTGAATACAGTGGGCCAAATGGAACTTAAGTTATGCTCCGGAAACCATTTTCAGTTTTACTGTAATAGTGACCTTGACCTTAGACCTTGTGACCCCAAAATCAATAGGGGTTTTCTACCCAATATGGACAATCATCCTATGAAGTTTGAATACTGTGGGCAACATGGAACTGAAGTTATGCTCGGGAAACCATTTTCAGCTTTACTGTAATAGTGACCTTGACCTTTGACCTTGTGACCCCAAAATCAATAGGGGTCTTCTACCCAATATGGGCAATCATCCTATGAGGTTTGAATACTGTGGGCCAGATGGACGGACGGACAGACGGACGGACAAGTGCAATGCTATTTGCTCCCACTTTGTGGGGGCATAAATATTCAATAATTAGACATATAAAATCAATAATTACAGATATTATTTCACTAATAAGAGATATACCTTTCTGAGAATTCTGTACACATAATGTAGAATTTACATGTAGGCAATTTTTGCAAGTGTTCATGTTTACGCACAACAAAGTATTTCATTTGGATGTCCTGCATTGTACCTAACGCAGACTTGACCAGGGTGTCATGTTCTGTCTGTCGTGCTTCATCAAAACTTACAATGCAGACAAAATCAGATAAAGCTACTCGACGAGGAATTCTTTCTAAAACATCTTTAGCAGTCTGTAAAGAAAAACTTATAACATTAACTACAAGTATAACTGTTTGTATTTTGGTTGGGTATTCCATAAAACTTAATACTAATAAGGTTATATGGCAAATTTCTTTCAATTGCTTCACTGTTGGAGGAAGACCTCAGGTGCCCTGCCATGTATTATTTCAGGAACAAGACTGTCTGTAAGCGATCTACACATTTTCAATACATGAAGTAATCCAAAGTCTCTGAAATCATAGCAGTGTTAGAATTGAAGTCAGCGACCATAACCACTCAGCCAAAGGTGTCCCTAAGTAATGAAATACATGTAAGTCTTAGTGATATATTATTTTGATATTCTATGTCAATTCTGTGCACTTTTGGCACATTTTAAACAACAAGCAAATCAAGAGAAATTATAAATTTATAGATCTTAAAGTTTGTTGCTTCAATAAGCAAGTGGAGCAGTGTCACAGTGGTTAAAGGTTTGAGTCTCACAACTCAGTGATAGTGGGTTCAAGACTTACTCAGGTCATAACAAGTGGGTTCAAGCCTTACTTTGGTCACAACAATGTTTCCTCATATGACACCAGTACTGGTTAGTTCAGGATGCTTAAAAATAAAATAAAATGCAAAATCTTGTTTAACAATCAAGCTTAGATAAATATATTAATATATATATATCTGAGCCGCGTCACAACAAAACCAACATAGTGGGTTGGTGACCAGCATGGTCGCAAACTTACTATGTTGGTTTTGTCTTTATGCAGCTCAAATCTAAAGAAGAAACTAGGATACCACATTACCATGTCTTTGGATCCATCAGAAGAATCTGAATAAGTTGAGCGTCCACATTGTACAAGATATATCCATAATGCCAGAATAAACTCAAACAGGACCACAATAATAAATGCCATGGTTAAACTCTCTAAAAACATAAACATAATGTATTCTTTTTATTAGATATATTTCCAAAAATAAGCAAAATTTCCTTCAAAAAAATCAATTTTTATAACACAGAATCATAAACATTTTTATTAAGTATTGAAAGGGTGTAAGGAAACCTTTACTTATTTCATTAAAGGCACATTTAACCTCAGAAATGATTATTTTTTTCTTTGTGCGGATAGATTCATAATGCTTAAAAATAAATTTAGATCATGCTTGTAACCTGACAATAATATTACTTAATGTGAAATGAGTTGTGATTAAAGTAGACAAATGTAAACAAAGTGTTATTTTGACTTACATACAAAATACTACACCAGTATAACTTAATCATTGCTAAAACACAAAAAAGAAGCAAAAAATGGCCAGTGAGTAACCTTATGGAAAATAACAGCATGACTAAAAGCTTTTGAAAAGTAAAATGCTAAGCATTTTTTAGGCTGAATGGGCCTTTAAAGATTCTACTACCTTTGGAGCTTGTGTACTGTCATCAGAAATATTAAATCATGGTGAAATATGTTATTGAAAAATATAAAATAGTGGATTATCTTTAATGTATTATGGTACTAAAAAGAGACATTCACACAAGTTTGTTTAGAATAATATTATTTAGATATCAATGTGATTTTGACTTATTCACAAGTGGTATTAGATACAGCTTTTTATGAGTTGCATAACTACATGGGGTATTACACATTTGGATGAAAAGCATAGCTGTAAGTAGTATAAGATGCAAAATTATAATGATTGGCATAGCCACAAGTGGTATTTATGACTAATATATTTTTGCAAGGCATGGTCACAAGTGGGATTAGATAAGAAACATTTTCATGGGTGGCATTGCTACAAGTGGTAAAAAATGCAAAATTTTCATGAGTAGCATAACCACAAATGGTATAAGATGCAATTCTTTATGAGTGGCATAACAAAAACTTGCATAAAATAAAATATATTCATGATTGACACAGTTACAAGTGGTCTCAGAAGAAACAATACCTTGTAGAGCATAGCCACAAGTGGTATCAGATGCAATATTTTCATGAGTGGCATAACCACAAGTGGTATTAGAAGCAACATTTTCTTTAATGATATAGCTACAAGTGGTTTTAAAACAGTGCAAAATTTTCATTGGTGCTGCATATCCAAGTAGCAGCATAGCCACAAGTGGTATTATTGGATGAAATATATTAATGAGTGGCACAACCTCGATACAACAATTTCATGAGGGGTATAAGTGCCAAAAGTGGTATTACATGAAACATTTTCTAAAAGAGCAGAGCCTTAAGTGGTTATTAAGGCATTATTTTCATGATTGTCATTGCTACAAGTGATTAAATATGCAACCTTTTTATGCATGGCATGTTCAAATGGCATTTAAAGCACGATTTTCATTAGTCGCACAAGCCAATTAGTGGCATAGCCATAAGTGGTATTAGATGAAATATATTCATGGGTGGCATAGATTCAATTATGTGGTATTAAGATGCAATACTTTTATGAGTAACACTGCCACAGATGGTATTAGATACAACAATGTCACAAGTGGTTTGTCAGAAGTTGAATTACTGTATTCCTAGAAAAGATTTCGCGCGTTTTAAGTTAGCGATTTTCGCAGTAGGCATGATTCCGCGAATCTTTATAGCCGCGAATATGTCAGTTATAACAAATCCGCGAACATTTCTAGCTTCAACCAAAATATAAACATAAACATGCAGAATTTTTATTATTATCTTACTTCAATGCCGATACATACGGGGTTTAATATGCAATGACAAAATTTCAATACCAATAATGCACATAACAAAAAGACCCTGGAAGAAAAATGTCAATTATTAGTAATTATCATGTTTATTGACGTTATTCACTAGTCACAACGTATTCAAAAGCATTTATAGTTTGCCTACAATGAATGACTTGGATTTTATTTGCTTGAAGTAGGTGTAATCCTTTGTTAAAAATACAAAGCGATCAAGTGCAACATTGATGCGATGTACAGTCGAATACTGTTAAAGACTAGCACAACATTACCGTTATATAAATCCAGACGTCTGGACCGAAAAATAAACCAGTAAATTTCCAGCTACTTTTAAGTGATACACTCGTTCTAGTTTATAGATTTTAAGGTCAATCATGAATTGCATGAATGGTTGAATCATTAATATGACATTCATAATTAGAAAATAGGCTATAGTCTGCATGCGCATATACCAGGGTGGAGACCGGGAATAATTTTATTTTTATATTATTTTTTATGTTTTGGACATACGGTTTATACCGTAGCCTCCAAAAACTGTAATTTAGGCTGTAGCGACTTAATATTCGCTGACTTCGCATTAACTACAAATCCACGAAAGTTTGTCTCCGCGAAAATGCCGACGTTGTGAAAAACGCGAAAATTGTATCCGCAAACATTTCTAGGAATACAGTATATTAACAACTGGTGTTTACGAAAGACCCATAATGTGATCAAAATTTTGCAAAAATAACAAATACCTTGTTTATTTATTTTATCTGAAGGTAATGGTTTATCTAACACTGATTTCTATCAAATGCTGTCAAGCCCTGACCTTATAGATGTCAGTATATCATGACATCAGAATGTTCATATTAAAAAGTAATTCTGCACACATTTCTTGAATTTTTGTTTTATTTTTACAAACATTTATATCTTAACAGTTATTAGGATATAAACTTATTATTATTACTATTAGGATATAAATCTTTTTAGACTATTTTTGCTACACTTTACCGATATAATACAATCATGTAATAAGTTTTAAATTAAAGGCTTGTTGAAATTAATTCTTAAACAACTCAAAAGACTTGACATACCCTATCTACTGTCATGACATAATATGGATCCTAGGTAGCAATAAAAATGACTTCAGGGCTGGCATTATCTGACTTTTTAACTTGTCAGTATGAAATCTATAATTCTTGAAAATGTCCCGTGGTCCCTACAGACTGTGGGACAACCTGGATAAAAAAGACTGGCCTTTATAACATGCTACATGTACACACTATCTGCTTGCTTCTTATACTATAGCATATTAACTAAAAGTATGTCAGAAATGAAAGTAATTAGCATTAAATAGGTAATAATTTAAAGAGCCTGTAAATCCCTGAAGTCTGACTAGGCTTTATATTGTTATGTAATGACTTTATTATTTTAATATTCATCTTGATATACCTAAAACTTGTAATGTACAGTTCCACAATTAGATGCTTGACAAGTCCATTTTGCAGGTTAAGGGGGGTAAAATTGAAACACTGTTAAGCAAATATGTTAAAATTTCAAGCAAAATATGCAAAAAGCAAGATAAATAAACTACCTCATGATTTATGCATAAATTATATAATATTAAAATGACATAACTACCTTTGTTGAAAGTATTTGGCTTGATAGTATCAACATCCTTCCTGACAGCAAATAAAATTTCATCCAAATCACTCTTTGCTTCTTTAAACTTCTTAAGTTTCTTGTCAAAATCTTTAGAGAAATCCTCTACTTGCTCTTTTATTTTTGCACTTTTTTCTTCAAATGCTTTAGTCATCTCTTGCATTTTACGATTAATTTTACCTTCAAATGTTTCCAAGGATGTTTCATAGTTTGAAAATGTTTGTTTAAAACCTTCAACAAACTTGCTTATGTCAGATATATTATCCTTAAAAGTGGATTCCATATTCTTAATTTTACTTTGAAAGGTTTTCTCTATTTCCTTATATTTATCTTCTAAAGTCTCTTTTGCTTCTTCGAGAACATTTAATTTTTCATTTGCAGAACTAACATCACTTACCGTAGAATCTACTTTATTGGTTAACTCTTTCAGTTTTGTTTCATCTTTATTTTTCATTTCATTCTTGAATTTCTCCACCATATCATTGAAAATGCCTTTATCATTTATTTGTTGCTTTTTTAATGTTGATACAGACATCTCAAAATCTGCTTGTCTTCTTTCCATATCTCGTATTTCAACACTCTTAATGTCTTTTTTATCAAAATTCCCAAAGAATAAATATTGCACTCCTAATGCCAACAAAATACATGCTATCATTAAGCCATATCTCCAAACCCAGGACCTAAATGATAAGAATAATATCATTTTTCCTTCAATTCATAAATCTTTTTCAGAATTTTAAAATACAAAATGTAAATATTAATAAAAGTTTCATTTACAAACTTTACAAAATAAATGTACTATATTCAAAATTGCATTTCATTCATATTTTATGAGTTCAATTTTTGGTTTCAGAAAAAGAAAAACTATTCTTAACAAGATTGCATTTGAGAAAAATGCTATGCCACGGCATGAATACAACACTAAATACAAAATGTAGTAGTGTAGGAACATATTTTTTTGTTTCTATACAACTGAAGATTGTCATAACACATTGATTCCTGACCTATTTAATTCTTATTATCAGATTAGTGGTTAAATCTATTGTTAATCCAATAAAAGATCAGAGTAGGGATATATCAATGCACTTGAGTCTAGTTAATTTGGTATTGAAGGTCATATTTCACACAGCCTAAATTTCATGACTACATCAAAGGACAACACAGTAAGACACTTTGTCAAAATCTAGGTCAGCTGATACCAAAGTTCACTTTGCATCTAAATCTGTGCACATGGTTCAAATTTCATAGTTGTACATCAAAGGACAAGAAAGTAGGTCACATCATCAAGATCTAGGTCACCTGATATCAAAGTTCAATTTTACAACTTAAACTGTGCACATGGTCAAAGAAAGTAGGTCACTGTCCCCTTGGGCAAGGCAAAATTTTGACCCAATAGTTAATTCAAAACAATCTTGATACAGAGGTCCACCAAACAACATATCAAGTCAAATATCTAAGCTTTTGCTTTCTTTCAGCTAGCTTACAGAACGTCGGTGGTTCTACTCAGGTGCCTGTTTGTGCCTGAAATAATGCACAGAAGGGCACCTGAGGTCTTCATCCACCAGTATTAAAAGCTGGAATGTCGCGATATGACCTATACTGTGTCGATGTGACGTAAAACCAAAAAAAAAACAAACAAACTTTAGCTTTCTTCCATTCAAAAAACATTTGTTTGGTTTTCTGTTTTTACTATGTGTTCATAATGAGAATCACTACCCCGGGCTGTGGGCCAATTTTGACACCAGGGGAAAAGTTTGAACAACTTTGGTAGAGGACCTTTAGATGATATTATATAGCAATCATCTAAGCTCTATGCTTTGTACCTTCAGGCAAAAATTTTCTTTATTTTTTTACTTTTTGTACATAATGAAAATCAATGACCCCCATGGTGGAACCAATTTTGATCCCGGGGCTATAATTTGAACAATCTTGGTAGAGGTTCACTTTGCAAAGTCTCATGCAATATATTTAACCTTTAGCCTTTGTCAATTCAGAGAAAAAGATTTTTCAAGTTTTTGCTTTATACATATAAGGAAAGCTATTGCCCTGGGGCAGGCAAATTTTAACACTAGAGGCATAATTAAAACAACTTTAGAAGAGGATACATAGATGATATTTTTTACCAAATATCAAAGCTCTAAGCCTTGTACCTTCAGACAATAAGATTTTATATTTTTTTTTACAATATGTACATAGTAGTGAAAATGAATTACCCCTGGGGGTGGGGCAAATTTTGACCCAAGGGCTATAATTTGTACAATCTTACTAGAGGCTCACTACACAAAGTTTCATGCAAAATATCTTAACTCTAGCCTTTGTAAATTTAGAGAAGATGATTTGTTAAGTTTTTTACTATATACATGTAAGGACCCCCCCCCCCCCCGGCGGGGCTAATTTTGGCACTAGAGGCAAAATTTGAACAACTTTGGTAGAGTACCTATAGATGATATCATTTAACAAATATTAAAGCTCTAAGCCTTGTACCTTCAGATAATAACATTTTTTTATTTTTTACTATATGTATATATTGAAAATCAATGACCCCCGCGGCGGGGGCAATTTTGACCCCAGGGCTATAATTTAAACAATTTTGCTACAAGTTCATCTCACAATGTTTCATGCAAAATATCTAACCTCTCTCATTTGTCAATTGCTAGGAGAATTTTTTTAAAGTTTTTACTATAAGTTTTTACAAATGATATACATATAGTGAAAATTATTGACCCTAGGGCGGGGCCCATTTTGACCCCAAGGCTATAATTTGAACAATCTTGGTAAGGGTCTACCAGACAATGCCTTATGCAAAATATCTAAGCTCTAGGCCTTTTGGGTCTTTACAAGAAGGTATCTTAAGTTTTTTACTATATGTACATATAGTGAAAATCAATGACCCCCGGGGCGGGGCAAATTTTGACCCCAAGGCTATAATGTAGTGGTCTACCAGACAATGCCTTATGCAAAATATCTAAGCTCTAGGCCTTTTGGGTCTTTACAAGAAGATTTTTTAAATGTATTCTTATAATTCCTTTTGGTTGCCATGGCCACCAGATTTCTGCATGGCATGAAATTCTTTGAACAACTTTGGAAGCCCTTCACCTAAGGATCAATCCTGCCAAGTTTGGTTGAAATTGGACTTGTGGTTTTTCACAAGAAGATTTTTTAAGTTCCATATAATTATAATCTATAGAACACACACACAAACACATACACAAACAGGTGAATTGCTATATGCCACCGCACCGCAGATGCTGTGGTGACATAAAAATTTTGAGTATCTCCAAGGCAATTACTTGTTACATGTACAAAATATATAAATATTGAAAACTTACTCTTTCCAATTTGATGGCAGCTCTAGAATAAAAAAGAAATAAAATATTGTAAATACATAAATCTTGTATTTTAAAAGCTGAATGTCTCCAGAAGAGCAAAAATTATTCTAGAAAATCAACCTGAAAAATAAGATTTTATATAAAAAAAGAGAAACTATTTACAATTCAAATAATAATAACTTGCAATTGTTACATGCAATAATGGCTGATTTTGGAGTATTTTTCACAAAATGTATTGCATAACTTACCAAGGAAGAGGTTTCGTTTTGTTTTTGTTCTTTAACATTACTTTGACATTAACTTTGTGACTTATGTGGATTGAAAATGCAGTTTGCAATGTGTATTTTTTTCCTTTGTTCACATGAAAATATTAATTTTTGTAACACATTTCCAAAAGAAACTTGCCATACGCGGATACATGGAAGTGTTCAATTATGGAAAAATAAAAATAATGGAGACTTTGTGATAAAAAGTTTTCAAGATAATAAGACATTTAAGGCCCCTGTGACCTAGAACTTTGAACAAGTGACCCAAAATCAATAGGGGTCATCTAATAGTTATGACCAATCAACAACAGAAATATGAAGACTTTGTGATAAATAGCTTTCAAGATAATGAATGGAAACCAAACTTACATTCAAGAGCCCTGTGACTTTGACCTTTGATCTAGTGACCCCAAAATCAGTAGGGTCACTTACTAGTTATAACCAATAAGTATGTGAAATATGAAGACTTTGTAATTAAAAGTCTCCAAGATAATATGTGGAAACAATTCTGAAATTTAAGGCCCCTGTGACCTTGACCTTTGATCAAGTGACCCCAAAAGCAAGACAGATCATCTGTTAGTTATGACCCATCAGTATGTGAAATATGAAGACTTTGTGATAATTATCTATCAAGATAATGAGCTGAAATCCTCTACCATCCAAAGATCCTGTGACCTTGACCTTTGACATGGTGACCGAAAAAATGTGAGAGGTCATCCACTATTTATAACCATTCAATATGTGAAATATGAAGACAGTCATAAATAGTAACCAAGATAATAAGCAGAAATAATATTACCATTCAAGGCCCCTGTGACCTTGACATATGACCTAGTGACCCCAAAAGGGGTCATCTATTAGTTATTACAAATCACTATGTGGAATATGACGACTTTGTGACGAACACTTTTCAAGATAATCAGCGGAAATCATTTTGACATTCAAGGCCCCTGTGACCTTGAACTTTGATCTTGTAACCCCAAAATCTACTAGTGATGACCAATTACTATGTGAAATATGAAAACTTTGTAATAAACAGTTTTCAAGATAATCTGCGGAAACCATGTGGTCTTCTGACAGACAGACAGACATTAGCAAAATAATATACCCCTTCTTCTTTGAAGGGGGTATAACAAATATTGACGAATACCAGTAAAGTGCGCAAATAAAACGTCAATACACATGTGAGATGATCCAGTCCCGTGGTTAATGTGATTTAGTACATACATGTATTTTAGTCATTACCACTAGTGAGAAGTATTCAAGAAATGATGAAGATTAACTGAATTCAGTTGAAAAGATCATCAGGAAGTGCAACTTGGCACGCATCAACTTCATTAAAATGCACAATCTGCAAACATTATGCGAATATTGCACAGCCTAGATGCAACACTGGATGATATTATATTTTGCTTCTTTCTCCCTTAATTAGGTCACCAACATTTTTATTTCACATTACTTATCTATGAAGTCATACATAATGTAAAACTTACCTTTCACAGGACCTTGTTTGGATTGTTCTGTATCTGCTGGGGTTTGGTCTGTTAGTTTGGTTACAAAGGCTTGTGCAGGTGGTGATGACTTCTTTGAATTAGACTGAAATATCAGGATCTTGTCATTTCTATATGAGCTGCGTCATGACAAAACCAACATAGTGCGTTTGCGACCAGCATGGATCTAAACCAGCCTGCAAATCCGCACAGTTTGATCAGGATCCATGCTTACCAATCCTATTACAAGTAGAGAAACTGATAGCGATAGGTTTGGATCCATGCTGGTAGCAAACGCACTATGTTGGTTTTGTTGTGACTCAGCTCATATCTCTAGTAACTTTAGTAAGGAAATTCTATTACTTCAAAGCATGCAGGGAAAGTACTTCATTATAGTACTGCAGAAATCTATGGGAAAAAAGATAGCCTGAGATATAAAAACACTGTTTAACTGCAGATTACACTTATTTCTACATACCCTAACTCTTGCCTATTAGATCCAATATTGTTTAAAAAGTTAATGTGGTGTATACAACAATTATATAAATTCAACCAACCAATCAAAATACATAAGCAGATATAACTTGATGTTCTATGCAGATTAATAATGCATCTTATAAGCCCAGTTTACTGTGCCTTTATAATTATCTGACTTATTAACAATATAATATTATTTGTATCTAAATTTGTAGCTTTATAAATATGTAACCAAATGCTATTTTTAAGGTTTTTTGTTATTTTCCAAGAAAGACAACTCTGTCGACCTTGTTTGACTTTAATCTTAACTTTGTGTCATTATGTCCCTTGACCAAATCTGCTATCTGTTCATCAGTCACCTGAGGTCATTCTCTGTGTAACAGAAGTTGTTGGTCATTGTGACATGTAGAATATTTTCAAAGTCCATTGACATATGACTTTGAAACTTTGCACACTTTGTTCACCATCATGACCCCAACCTGTAGACAGGAGGGGGTAACTCTATGAAGCATTTGGCAGATTGAAGCCCCTTTTTCAACTTAGAATTTACATAAAAGTTTGTGTACATGAACCACCTCAGCTATTTTCATATTCTATTGACATCAAGCTTTGAAACAAGTTGAAATTCTTCTTTTGAGAGCATAATAGGACTCTTTCCAAGGCCTATAACTGTAATTTGGATTTAAAGAAAAATGTTGCCCTTTTTTTAACTTAGAAAATATTATATTATCAAGGCTCTTTTACAAGCACTAAGAATAGTCGAGCATTAGTCCTTGTTTAAAATTTAATTTTGTTACTATATTTTAGCAACATTACAATCACTTACCCTTCTCTGAGTTTTTTTAACACTTATATTAAAGCCATCTATTTACTACTAATGCAAAAAAAAACATTTGCAGAAAAAATATTCAGATCATGTTAAAATTCTGAAGTGGCTTAAATACATGGTCATATTAAAAAAAATCATTATGCAACAGCTACTGCTATTGATTATTTAGGACAACATTGATAGGGGAAATAAAAGTTACACGTGGGTTGTGTGTCTTTGTTTACCTGAAAATAATCCTAACTGAAAATTTACAAGTTAAGTACATGTAGGACTACATTTGCAAGATAAGATGACTGCCAACAAAATGGCTTTATGGTGGTTGTGATTGATGCTTCGAGGGATCACTTTGTTTCCAGAATTTTATACTTCACAACAAAGGTGTCAAGTGCTGTGTGGCAGCTGTAAAAAGTTGCCCCGCACTTCACTTCAGTGTTGTTATATTTTCTGGTCCTTCGGGATCATTGATGCCAGCACTATTAAGTGTTGAGAATTGAGTATCGCTCAAGCCGGTGCTAGGGGGGTGTGAGGGATGTTGCACTTATTCATTTTCCCTCATGTACAGACTCGATCAAACCGAGTCTGCAATTCTTATGTTATTTTGTTGTGATTGATGCTTCCGAGGGATCACTTTGTTTCCAGAATTTATTACGAAGATGAAAATCTGCTTTTTTAAAAACATTATTTTACATACAATGTCCTTTTAATTTGAAGCTTATGAATGACAAGAGTCAGAAATTTAATTTTTAAGTCATTTTGAAGTTGAAGTATTAATACAGGTATAGTGTATTTTACGAAAATACACACACTTTAAATATAAAATGTATAAATAAAGATTTTCAAATATTTCTGCATAATTTTATAGTCTGGTTTAAAAAAAAATAATAAAGAAAAATATCAAAATTTTATGATATCTATGTTTTAACAATACTTTCAGCCAGTTCTCTGTTTAGCACGATCTTTGAAGTGTTACATTTATTAACTTTATCCATTTAGCATTCATGGAAATCTGTACCAAACAGATCTAACAATTATCTTACTCAGCAAATAACTAAATTTAATAAAATTCTCAACATATCACTTAAATCATCTGTAGAAGACCAGCAGCATCTGATATTTTGTGTTAATATGTAAAACAACTTCATGTAATACAAAGCTCCTATAAGTCTTAATGCCTTAAACTTAATGTACTATAAATGTATCTTAGTTATCACAGGCAATCAGCTTTATACATATTTCAAATGTATATATAATATAGTAAATTTCAAAAACAATCCATGTCTTTCCCAGTCTTAAATAGAAAGTTTTATCTGCTCAATACAACAGGTTTTCATGATCATTTGATTATAACAAAAAAATCCTTACACGATAAAATTTGATAAAAAGAAGATATTAAGTAATTAAAGGCAGATCACTCTTACCTCTTCTTTGATGATTTCTTCATTGTTATCTTGAGAGTCACCTATTTGACCATTTAATTCCTCATTCCCACATCCACTTTCTTCTAAATCTTTATCTATAATATTTATAGTCTTTCCTTTAGTCAGTGTAAGTTCATCCTTATTTTGAGCTGCCTTCTTCTTTGCCTTTGTTTCTGAAACACAATAAAAATTTCAACTATAAATCATTCATTACTTTAATATATTCATAATTATGTATGATACAAATTATATGTTAAATCACAATATTAATATGCTATATATATGTTGCATTTCTGTACATGCATGGTATATGATTTGCAAAGCAGATTTCTTTGTTGGGTTTAACATTGCACAAACACAGGTGACTTTCCAGCTTTATTGGTGAAGGAAGACCTCAGGTGCACTTCCATTCATTAATACAGGCACAAGCAGGCAACTGAGTAAAACCTGTATTGACATTCCCTAAGCTACCTGGATATAACTTCTTCCATTAAAATAAATCTAAAATCACTGGCGGGATTCAAACCTACAACAGACTGGGAGAAGTAATTTGTTAAAGACCTTAATAACTAGATCACTGATGCCCTATTACATTTTTAGTAACAGTTATCAATATATTGATACCATCACAAAAAAATATGTATTTCAGAAACCAAAAATAACAACAAGAGGCTGTCACAGGAGACAGCAAAGCTAAAATAATAAAATACTGGACGCAGTAAGGAAGACAAAACTATGAAAAAAATCAATTATGTATAATTATAATTTATGTATTAAGTTATAGTAAAAAATAACATTGTTAACATAAATTCCAAATCAAGGGGAATAATTCTGGAAATAGTCACACTAGAGTTATGAACATTGTCACACAACATGTGTGTAGTGATAAGAAATATATATTTGAAGTTTGAAGTACCGGTAGATTCCTTAAAAAGTAAAGAAGTTATAATATTTATTAAAGAAAATCCTAAGTTCAAAGAACGATAAATATGTAAATATTGCTTCAAGAGTTATGAACCTTGTCAAATACTAGAAATGTGTCCATAGGACACGGATGCCCCCACACGCCACTGTTCTGTTAATCTTGTGACTCTAGGTCAAATATTTTTTGGACTACATGTGACACAAATTGAAAACTAAAAATCAACAAAGGGCCATAATTCTGTTAAATTTGGTCACAGCAAAAATTCCTTCATTTACTACCATCTACACATTAAGGTTGTTAATCCCTGGAAGTTTAAGCAAAATCTGCCATCCGGTTTAAGAGGAGTTGCGTTCACAAAATTTCTACATAGTATATAATGAAAAAATAAAAAAAGGGCCATTATTCTGTTGAATTTGGTCGCAGCAAAAATTCCTTCCTTGACTACCATCTACACATTAAGGTTGTACATCCCTGTAAGTTTAAGCAAAATCTACCATCCAGTTTAAGAGGATTTGCGTTCACAAAATTTCTACATAGTATCTAGTGAAAAAATCAACAAAGGGCCATAATTCTGCTAAATTTGGTTGAAGCAAAAATTCCTTCCTTTACTACCATCTACACATTAAGGTTGTTTATCCCTGTAAGTTTAAGAAAAATCTGCCAACCTGTTTAAGAGGAGTTGCGTTCACAAAATTTCGGGATGTACGGACGGACGGACGGACTGACGGACCACATTGTGGGGGCATAAAAATGTAAATGATGATAAGGAATATGTGTTGAAAGTTTGAGGTAGATACCTTTAAAACTAAAAAAAATTATAGTAAAAAATAACATTTTTCAAGTAAAATAATCTAAGTTTATGGGGAGATAATTCTAGCAATAATCGTAATCATGTAATTTAATCATGTTAAATTCGGTTTCTTTTGCCTTAATTTTTACTATATACATAAAAGGTAATGTTCTCCAGGAGACCAGGCCAATTCTGCCCCAGAGGTTATAATTTGAAGAATTTTTGTAGTGGTCCACCAGACAATGTTTCATACCAAATATCTAAGATAAAGCCCCTTTGTTATAAAAGAAGAATATTTTTTGTTTTTACATTATACATTAACAAAAATCTATGACCCCCCTGGGGTGTAACCGATTTTGAACTGAAAACTTTTTCAAGCTGAAAACCTCCATTGCCCTTCATGCTTTATTTCGGGCCCCATAGTAGAGCCAAATAAAAACTTGGAAACTTAGTAGACAACTAGACGAAGATGTTTCAGGCTTAATATCTAAGCTCTGACTCTGGATTTTTTAGTTGTAAAATCTTTCATTTGCTATGGTGACCAGAATTTAGCATGGAATGGAAATCTTTAAACAATTTTATAGAGCTTTGTGCCAGGAACATTTCTGGTCAGTCCTAACAATATTTTCCAATTGGTATAGGAGATGTTGTTTTAAATTTATAAACAGTTTGACACCATCAAAGCAGCATGCCTCCAGATGAACCAAAGTATGTCAATAAAATCTAAATAAAACTTGAGAAAATGTACTAACATTTTTGAAAAAGTAAAAAGATTCAAGATTCATGTAATAATTTACATGTTTTGTGCGATTAATGATTAATTTTCAGTTTTTAAAACAATACTGCTTTACTAATGCAGTAAGGGTTATTTTGGCATATTGTAACCTCTTTTTGGTAATTTACATGGGATGCAAGTGCGATTGATAATGTGCTAATTGCTTCCTTTTTGGTTGCTTCACGATATTATGCTTTTAAATACATTTTAAAATTTTTAAAGAAAATATGATTGTTTTTATGAATCTGGAGGCATGCTGCTTTAAAGATGAGAGATTCCATGAGCCAAAAATGTGCCTATATAAAATTATATACCTGAGTAATAAGACAGCAACATAAGTAATTACAGAGGAAGATCTCTGCTTGAAAAATTACCTAAAATTTTACTGCATGAGAATAAAGTCTTTAAAGCTGCACCCTTAGCTAAAAATTTAGGATATATCGACCTGACTCATGTGGAAGAAATATCTTGCTTCTTAAACTTTAAATATGTTTGAATTAAGCAGTTTTATAATAACTTCAAAAACGTAACTTACCTGAACCTTTTTTCTTTTTATTCTCATCTTTTTCCATTGTTACTTTACTCACAAAACTGAAATTTTCAACAAAAATATATAACTTAAAAATGCTGATATACATGTATTTTATATTTCAAGGTTATTGCCTACAACATTAACTCTCAAATATCATATGCTTCAAGAACATTCCAGTCATATCAGTCCTGGGAAATAGCAGAGATTTCAGCTTTGATTTTCATTAAATCAATAAAATGCCCTTCCAGTGCCCTGATACTGTGGTCTGGACAAAACTCAAGGGCTGTCAAAAGGTAAAATATTCAACTCATTTACCCCATCGTGGTCTGTACTCACAACTTGTCTGAAAGGGCTGGTGGAAGCTCATAAAGTCTAGAATACAATTATACATTCATTTCCCTAACTACCCTCTGTCCTTTCAAAGGTGTGGGGTCTCATAGTTACAATTGATTGAAAATCACATATAAGGACAAATATGATAAAGTGATATCATAGATTTATATGATTTAATTACTGCGCAATAAGACAACGAATCTTATTAATTAAAACTGATGTTACTTTAAATATGTAAATTCCCTAAATAATAATAACTTGTAAATGATATACACATAATAGTGGCGCCATTAAGTGGCGGCATGGCCGAGTGGTTAACGCGTCGGACTAGTAATCTAATGATCGCTAGCCGTATGGGTTCAAACCCCGTCAGGGGGCAAGTCGTTGTTTCCTTGAGCAAGAAACTTTACACTCATTGCTCAGTACTGGTTGGTTCCAGGAACAGATTCGAAAGTGTGTCTATAAGCTTATAGCTTCCTACACAATCAAACTAAAATAAATTCTGTATAAAAACTAAAACATAATAATTGAGCCGCATCACGACAAAACCAACACATCTGCGCAGTCTGATCAGGATCCATGCTGTTCGCTATCAGTTTCTCTACTTGTAATAGGGTTTGTAAGTGAACAGTATGGATCAACATCAGACTGTGCAGATGCGCAGGCTGGTCTGGATCCAATTGCTGGCCGCAAACGCATTAAGATGGTTTTGTCGTGATGTGGCTCATATATTAATTTTACAAGGCCAGTAATCATAAGAATGTTGTTCACAAAGACGAATGGCGGTCTATTAATGAGGATATATTATAACAAGCATTTAATACTTCGTTATGACAACCAGTATTTGAACTACACATGAAACATCAGTTTTAAATATAGTTAAATGTTTTTTAAATACATATTTACAAAACAATAAATTAGTCAGCCACACAACTAATTTAATTTTGTAAATGCCTACTTATATAAATTTTGACCAGCTTCAAACCATCAGCAACACAATTTATTGTAATATTATAAATGCGATTTTGTATGTGAGGTATAATACATGTAGCTAAGGTATATAACTCTAATGAGAATTCTAACACAACCCGCATTTTTCCCTATTGAACATAGAAGAACAAAAAGTGTGTGTTATTATGCAACAGATGCACAGTTTGACGTTCTATATTTAGACATGTGACGTAATCATTATACACGTGTCGTAACCACTAAAAATCCGACGCGCTGAAAATAAGTTCAGCAACAAATCAGGCACAATTTTGCTTAACTATCAAGTACCTCAACATTTATTTGTTAATGTCGTGTTCAAGAATCGAAATAATATATCCAAATCAGTGATTTTATCGCTTGATAACATCACTGTTTGTCGTTCCTATGCGCATCATAATATCACTCGGGCTACGCCCTCGTGACATAATTCCTCACATCCGAACTCCAAACAGTGATGTTATTGAGCGATAAAATCACTGTTTGAGATATATTATTTCTTAAATAAGATACTGTATTCTATGACTACATTAGTTTAAATTTTTTAATACTCAGGAGATAAACTCTCAGCATTTTTTAGATCTGCTATACTTACTTTCTCTGCATGCAAATGTATACATTAATATAAACATTTTCATATATTACATTTATATAAACATTTCATATATTACATTTATATAAACAGTCTCATATATTACATTTATATAAACAGTGTCATATATTACATTTATATAAACAGTCTCATATATTACATTTATATAAACAGTCTCATATATATTGCATTTATATTAACAGTCTCATATATTACATTTATATAAACAGTCTCATATATTATATTTATATAAACAGTTTCATATATTACATTTATATAACCAGTCTCATATATATTACATTTATATAAACAGTCTCATATATATTTCATTTATATAAACAGTCTCATTTATTACATTTATATAAACAGTTTCATATATTACATTTATATAAACAGTCTCATATATATTACCTTTATATAAACAGTCTCATATATATTACCTTTATATAAACAAACTCTCATATATTACATTTATATCAACAGTTTCATATATTACATTTATTTAAACAGTCTCATATACATTACATTTATATAAACAGTCTCATATACATTACATTTATATTATATAAACAGTCTCATATATATATCCTTTATATAAACAAACTCACATATATTACATTTATATAAACAGTCTCATATATTACATTTATATAAACAGTCTCATATATATTATATTTATATAAACAGTCTCACATATATTACATTTATATAAACATTCTCATATATTACATTTATATAAACAGTCTCATATATTACATTTATATAAACAGTCTCATATATTACATTTATATAAACAGCCTCATATATTACATTTATATAAACAGTCTCATATATATTATATTTATATAAACAGTTTCATATATTACATTTATATAAACAGTCTCATATATTACATTTATATAAACAGTTTCATATATTACATTTATATAAACAGTCTCATATATTACATTTATATAAACAGTTTCATATATTACATTTATATAAACAGTCTCATATATTACATTTATATAAACAGTCTCATATATTACATTTATATAAACAGTCTCATATATAAAACATTTATATAAACAGTCTCATATATTACATTTATATAAACAGCCTCATATATTACATTTATATAAACAGTCTCATATATATATTTATATATAACATTTATATAAACAGTCTCATATATATTATATTTATATAAACAGTTTCATATATTACATTTGTGTAAACAGTCTCATATATATCATATTTATATAAACAAACTCACATATATTACATTTATATAAACAGTCCCATATATATTATATTTATATAAACAGTCCCATATATATTATATTTATATAAACAGTCTCATATATAATACATTTATATAAACAGACTCATATATATTACATTTATATAAACAGTCTCATATATAAAACATTTATATAAACAGTCTCATATAAATTACCTTTATATAAACAAACTCACATATATTACATTTATATAAACAGTCCCATATATATTATATTTATATAAACAGTCCCATATATATTATATTTATATAAACAGTCTCATATATAATACATTTATATAAACAGACTCATATATATTACATTTATATAAACAGACTCATATATATTACATTTATATAAACAGACACATATATTACATTTATAAAAGATTCAGATATCACTTAAATCATTCACATTCAATTTATTTTTTCAGAAAATTGCAACAGCTGTATATGATATAAATATTGTGCACTCTATCATGAAACTTAATTACTGAATTATGTAATTAAATTTATTTTTTTATTATATTAGTACATACTTTATTATTGAGTTATTCATTTTAATTTTATTTACTTGTGTACTTAATTATTATTTTTTTTTATACAGTTACTTTCTTAATTATTAAATTTTTATTTAATTACTTTCTTAATTACTTGTTTTTTTTTATTTAATTACTTAGTAATACTGATTGAACTGTTTTATTTAATTTACTTACTTCATTATTTAATTAATTATTTTTTTAATTAATAACTTATTTAATTATTTTTACTTTATCACTTTTTTAATTATTATTTAACTACTTACTTAATTATTTATCTTTTTATTTAATTACTTAATTAATTATTTTATTACTTACTTAATCACTTAATTAATTATCTAATACTTTTTTTATTTAATTACTTATTTAATTATTTAATTACTTACTTAATCACTTAATTAATTATCTAATACTTTTTTTATTTAATTACTTATTTAATTATTTTATTACTTACTTAATCACTTAATTAATTATCTAATACTTTTTTTATTTAATTACTTATTTAATTATTTAATTACTTACTTAATCACTTAATTAATTATCTAATACTTTTTTTATTTAATTACTTATTTAATTATTTAATTACTTACTTAATCACTTAATTAATTATCTAATACTTTTTTTATTTAATTACTTATTTAATTATTTAATTACTTACTTAATCACTTAATTAATTATCTAATACTTTTTTTATTTAATTACTTATTTAATTATTTAATTACTTACTTAATCACTTAATTAATTATCTAATACTTTTTTTATTTAATTACTTATTTAATTATTTAATTACTTACTTAATCACTTAATTAATTATCTAATACTTTTTTTATTTAATTACTTATTTAATTATTTTATTACTTACTTAATCACTTAATTAATTATCTAATACTTTTTTTATTTAATTACTTATTTAATTATTTTATTACTTACTTAATCACTTAATTAATTATCTAATACTTTTTTTATTCAATCACTTATTTAATTATTTAATTACTTACTTAATCACTTAATTAATTATCTAATACTTTTTTTATTTAATTACTTATTTAATTATTTAATTACTTACTTAATAACTTAATTAATTATCTAATACTTTTTTTATTTAATTACTTATTTAATTATTTAATTACTTACTTAATCACTTAATTAATTATCTAATACTTTTTTTATTTAATCACTTATTTAATTATTTAATTACTTACTTAATCACTTAATTAATTATCTAATACTTTTTTTATTTAATTACTTATTTAATTATTTAATTACTTACTTAATCGCTTAATTAATTATCTAATACTTTTTTTATTTAATTACTTATTTAATTATTTAATTACTTACTTAATCGCTTAATTAATTATCTAATACTTTTTTTATTTAATTACTTATTTAATTATTTAATTACTTACTTAATCGCTTAATTAATTATCTAATACTTTTTTCATTTAATTACTTATTTAATTATTTAATTACTTACTTAATCACTTAATTAATTATCTAATACTTTTTTTATTTAATTACTTATTTAATTATTTAATTACTTACTTAATCACTTAATTAATTATCTAATACTTTTTTTATTTAATTACTTATTTAATTATTTAATTACTTAATTATCATCAAACTGACTTGTGCTATATATATATTGACTGACATAACTGATTGAAGAAATATGCTCCATGAACTCTATGCTGTCAAAATATGAAAATTATAATAAAAAACCAAGTTATATGGAGAAGTTACCAGTAGGCTGCAAACCCAGTTGCACATGCAGGGTTAATCATCCTATAGATATTGTACATGTATAATGGTAACCGGTCAAGCTATGCACTAGCTCAAATAAAAAGTTTTTCTGTTGTTGAACAGTTGAAATCTACACGTAATAATCAAAGGGGATCAGCGCATTGAATGTTCATATTTTGTGAACATTCAATGCGCTGATCCCCTTTGATTATTACGTGTAGATTTCAACTGAAAAACTTTTTATTTGAGCTAGTGCATAGTTATCAGGTTATCTGGTGGCAGAAATATGCCACCATAGAAAATAGCATCAATGGTACATGTATCAGTACGAAGAAGGTATATTAACTTAATTAAGTAGATATATTTGTTGAAAATTATGTATATTTCTGCCACCAGATAACCTGATAACTAACTAGTTAATTAAGAGGTTAACTAGTTGCTTAATTAATTAAGATTATACTGCAGTATAGGGGGTATTTTGGATATTATTATGGGTAATTGATAAAAATTTCAAGTTCCTGTGCTTATTTGGTGTTAAATAGTGCATATCTACTTTTATGTTTAACCATGGAGCTAAATATAAGATTGTTTATATATCTGTGTTTTTTTAGATTTGTGGGGGTCAGAACCCCCCCCCCCCACTTTGTGGGGGTCAGACCCCCCCCCCCCCCCCCCTCACCCTTCCCGGTGACAGTACTGACAAAAAATAAAAGCCAAAAGGGCTTTAGTATGATCATCACTATTCAGGCCTAGTAACGACGTAGCATACTTTATTGAAATATAAATTACTTCAGTAACCAATAGGCTGCAAACCAAGTTGTGGGGTGTACAGTTTACCCGTCTTGGCTACGCACTAGCTCAAATAAAAAAAACGTTTTCTGCTGTTGAAATCTACAGTACTGATAAGCTCTACTAGCCTTTTAACCTTCTAAATAGTTTCGATATTATTTTTATTGATGAAAGCACTGCAGATCTACAAAATAAGTTAAACAATCTTACCTTCTAACCGGTTAATATCTGTCTAGTTTCGATTTCCATTTGTAATTCCCCGTAAAAAGTAGTCCGTCAAGATTAAACCTTTAGGTCAAGGACATGAAACCATTCATTGTATCACTGTATTGGAAAGAGAACGTGATAAGCATGACGCAGCGGATAGATAGTCATTTACCATATTAATCAAATGTTTTAAATCAAATCGCACTTATTCCTTTTGAAATGCACGTTTTGATAATAAAAATATGTCGTTTGTTTAATAAAGTTGATAAGTTGCAATTCAAGCGTGAATATTTTAATTTTGAAATTTTGTAGAACTAGAAGTTGATCGATCTATAGGTACGTACGTATAGATACATGTATAATTAAAAACAAAGAAGTACATCTAAAATTATAAATTATAGATGTATCTCCACGGAGAAAAAAGTTAAATATAAACGTTTTCGTAGTTGTTTCTATTATATCTATTTATAGAAAAAACTATGTCTGTTTCAGTAGATTCAGTACGTGCCTTTCAATTTTTTTAGACCCTGCATGATCAATATAGGCGTTCAATTACAGCTAGGAAGCTTTATTACAATTTCAGCCGTTATAAACGAATAGATTAAATTATTTTATTTGATTTGATTTTAAGTTTGTTTTAAAAATTATGATTTGATTAAATTTATTTGAAGCTACTTAATTTGATTAAAAGCGGCACACCTCCAGATTCATGGAAAATGTCTTTAAAAGTATAATTCAGTGAAATAACCAAAAGGAAGCAATTTAACAATATCAATGGCACTTGGTCAAGCGAGGGAAATGGTTGCACACTTGGTCAAGCGAGGTAAATGGTTGCATACTTGAAAAGCGAGGTAAATGGTTGCACACTTGGTCAAGCGAAGGAAATGGTTACACACTTGGTCAAGCGAGGGAAATGTTTGCACACTTGGTCAAGCGAGGGAAAGGGTTGCGTAATTGATCAAGCGAGGAAAATGGTTGCACACTTGGTCAAGCGAGGGAAATGGTTGCATACTAATTACTTGACAAAATGGCTAACGCGAGTCATGAATATGTATGGTAATGTAACGATTCGCCACAATATCGATTTACTACATACTTTCTTTTTTTCATTTTAAATTTACTCTTTATTACATGTATTAAAGTCTCATCCATACATAACATTTACAATATTTCAATTACAAATTATTGTAAAACATAAAATCATAACATTGGCTGTATGGTCTTTCTACAGTTATATTGGAGGCAACTCCTCACTTATTTAACTTAAAACTTACACATTATCTAAATATCAACAGATAAAAGCTAAAATACCCTTGCTAATATGTAATCTACATAAAAGTCTTATAAAACCTTGACAACTCAATACTCTGACAAAATGTCCTGCTATCTGAAATATTGTATAAAATATGGGTCGAACTTTAGTCTGCCATAAAAGTTAGTTAACTAAACATAAAAATGTTATTGTTATTTAAACATAAAATAACACCAAGTAAGTACAAGAAAAGTATTACTTAAATTACAAATAATACGGTAAGATAAATGTTATTTTTATAACAAATTATTTCTTTCTTTTAAAATAGCGCAACAGGCTTTGGCAGTTCCCCTTACAATATCCTTGTTGGAGAGTACAAAATAAATTTTTCCTGGTAATTGAAATTAACAAAGCTATGATCTATTTCATGGATTTAGAAATTAACATCTCTCTTAGATCATGGAAGGAAAAGTATTCGAACAGAACTTCAATTGAGAGTTTACATATCGGGCATTATCTTTTAAAGTTCTCTTGGATGTTTTCATATCTCCCGGTCTCCAGTCTAATTGGAATCATAATCAAGTGATAATTATAATAAAAACGGCTGTTATTGAATAAAACACATGAAATATAACACATTTGATTACCAAAATTACATAAGACATTGTAAATAAGTAAACAAGGACAGAGTGAATGTAAACTTAAATGAATATTTGAGCCGCGTCACGACAAAACCAACATAGTGGGTTAGCGACCAGCATGGATCCAGACCAGCCTGAGCATCCGCGCAGTTTGATCAGGATTCATGCTGTTCGCTGCCAGTTTCTCTACTTTTAATAGGGTTTGCAGATGCGCAGTCTGGTCTGGATCCATGCTGGTCACAAACGCATAATGTTGGTTTTGTCGTGACGCGGTTCATTTGTTGATAGTCAATTACAGATTAATAGACTTCTGCTCAAACAGATATAAATAATGTATCCTCTGGGCTACAAAACTTTGGTAATAAAACAAACAAAAACATTCATAGAAAACATAGAAACAGCCATCGACATTACGTTTATTCTCCACATCATGTAACATTTTTCATATTTTAAATTAAACTATCAATAGTGTGAAGTAAAAACCTTCAAATCATAAAAATATAAGCTGACTGCGATTGGTATTTAAAACACACACACGCGCGCGCGCACGCACGCACGCACGTGCACAAACACATAAAAGAAAGTACCGAAAAACATCATTTGTCGCAGTGAGGGGTTACTTCATTCTAATACACAAATACTGTACATATCATATTATAACAAAACGACAATATATTCAAGCTCTTTTATGCCGGAATGCGTACTTAAGTTTACAATTAAAATGAAACAAAACTGAGTTGTCTCCAAAATTAATGAAATATACGATTCTTAGTTTTCAAGAAAACATAAATTAATAGCAAAGTTTTAAACAATTATTTATTGATTAGAATAAAAATAGTGTTAACGATGTGTTAAAATAATTAATTCTCTTTTATCAAATTGTATATACTTATAGATTGTAATCTACGTTACCACTTTTGAAATTAATGTAACACATAAAGATTCCTATCAATGCCTTTGTCATAGGGTTGAAATATCTGATAAACGCATTATACACGTAATTAAATGATATATACACACTTACACTAACTAAACATACACTACAGTTGCGCCCAACGGGGGACTTCTTCAAAGGTCTTGGTGCAGTATTATATCAACGTCAAGATGGAATCGATCGTGTCGTAGCGTACGCAAGCAGAAGTCTTAAACCATCTGAAAAGAATTACCCTGCTCATAAGCTTGAATATCTTGCGTTAAAGTGGTCTGTTACAGAGAAATTTCACGATTACCTTTATGGCACGACATTTGAAGTTGTTACAGATAACAATCCTCTTACATACGTTACAACTACTGCCAAACTTGATGCAACTGGACAGAGGTGGATGGCTGCCTTATCAAATTATAATTTCAAAACAACTTACAGGAGCGGTAAAAACAATGCTGATGCCGATGGATTGTCTCGCATACCATTTGAAAAGAAAGAGTTAAATGATGAAAATCTTGAAAGTAAATGTATTGCAGCGATGGCTTTAGCAACATCTTCTTCTCCATCTGAAACACCTTTAGTTTTTTCTGTAGCTTCACCAGAGTCATTAGATACAGTTGATCCCATCGTTACACACGAAGTTCCTGATGACATCATTCAGTCGCATTCTTTAAGTTCAAAAGATTGGAGGAAAGCCCAACTTGAGGACCCTGTTATAAGTCAGCTAATCGACCATATGGAAAAAGGAACTCGACCGACAGCTAAGCGGGTCAGTAACAACATATCACCAGTGGTTAGATATTTGCGTGAGTGGGACAGTCTTGAGCTTAAAGAAGGTGTATTGTTTAGATACAGTCAATACAAAGATCAAAGGTAAAAGCAGCTCGTACTTCCAGACGCTGTCAAAGATGAAGTTTTCCGTGCCTTACATGATGATTTCGGACATCAGGGACGTGATAGAACAACATCTCTCTTCAAGCAACGCTTCTTCTGGATTGGTATGGATGCCTATATTGAAGACAAGATCAGGAATTGCTCTCGATGCATCGCTAGAAAATCAAAACCATCTGTAGCTCCACTTGTAAACATTTCTTCAACTACTCCAATGGAAATTATTTGTATAGACTACTTGAGCCTTGAAAGATCCAAAAGGTGGCTTTGAACATATATTAGTTATAACGGACCATTTTACTAGATATGCCCAAGCTTACCCAACCAAAAATCAGACTGCAAAAACTACTGCCAAAATACTGTTTGACCAATTCATTGTACACTACGGATTTCCATCTAGAATACATAGCGATCAGGGAGCTAACTTCGAGTCCAATCTCATTAAAGAATTGTGTATTTTGGGTGGTACCAATAAATCACTTACCACACCTTACCACGCCATGGGAAATGGTATGATAGAACGTTTCAACCAGACACTCTTGAAGATGCTTGGCACATTGGAAAAAAAGTAAAAAGTCCGACTGGAAATCCTTTGTTGCACCCCTGGTATATGCTTACAATGTAACCATACACAACAGCACTGGGTTCTCACCATATTTTCTCATGTTCGGAAGACAACCCAAACTCGCCATAGACGCCTTACTTGGTATAAATTTTGATGATGACAAAGCTAAATCAAGGAACGAATATGATAGGAAATTAAGGGATAGACTGAAGTTCGCCTATAAAAAGCAAAGAAAATTTCTACAGAAATGGCTAATTCTAATAAAGATGTGTACGATTTAAAAGCAAGAGCAGCAAAATTACAAATAGGAGATATCGTTTTAGTAAGAAATGTAACACTCAGAGGGAAACAAAAGATCGCCGATAAATGGGAATCAACTCCGTATGAAATACTTTCTCAACCAAATGAAAATACACCAGTGTTCGTTGTAAAACAATGTGGCAGTAAATCTAAAAAATCAAGAATACTTCATAGAAATCTTCTGTTACCAATGAAAACGATGGTTGCTGGTAAAGAAACAGATATTGCAAGTCTTAAAAACAATAATACCGAGAAATACATCATTCCACAGAGAAGAAAAGATACACCTAATGTAATGAACCACAAACCTGAACAAACAGAGAGAATTAAAAGACAAAGAAATCCTCCAAATTGGTTGTCATCTGATGATTAGAAAAGTCGACATTATCGTAACTTATAGTGGTTTTAGACATACTTACCTCATTTATCTATGCTGAAATGGAAGACATCTATATTTTGACAATCATATAAAGACTTACCTACATTGAGTTGACATTCCAAATAGAACTGATATGATGTGTG